CATTCTCTCATTACAAGACATTATTATCTGTATGTATGTTCATCTTTCCCCATAATTCTCTTTATGCTTCAACCTCTCCTGAACTTCTGATATATTTATCTGGGGATTTAGCATGCGAGCTCTTCGCCGTGAAAGAGAGACATTGAGCAAGCTGATGCGCAGAAGATTTTCAGAGGAAGAGAGATTGCAACTGTACCAGAAGTGGGATATTGGATTGAACTCGAAGCAACGAAGGTTGCAATTAGTCAATCAGTTGTGGACAGATACAAATAATATGGAACGCATCAAGGAGAGTGCTACCATTGTTGCAAAGCTGATTAGGTTTGTAGAGCAGGGACAAGCCATCAAGGAAATGTTTGGCTTGAGCTTTACTCCCGCACGACCAAGGCGAAGATCCTTTGGTTGGAAAAACAGCATGGCTTCTCTTTTGTGACATTGGTAATGCCCAAATACACGTATAAAGCAACCATAGGTAATTTCTTTAATTGGGTAGGCTACAGCATTCCTTTCTGTGATTGAAACTGTAACAGATTGTGATGATGATAGTGTGGTATAAATTCTGAAACTTCACCTGATCAGGGCAGAAGCAAAATCAGGCTTTGGTATAATTGCTTTGCCTTTCTGGTTTTGGGTGTAAAGGTTTGGTATTGCTCCTTTGATACCTGTTATGTAGATGACTCTAGATTCCATGGTATGGGTATGGAAATAGGGCTTTTCCGATTTTGTGTTATGAAATCCAGTTATGATTAGAATCCATTCTACCCCAAATGCTATGTCTTAGCAACCATCCAAAATCGTGAGAGTTTAGATGAGTTTCGTATTTACAAACCATAAAACTTTTAGATTTGAGGTTAAAGTTAGTGGTTTAAATTTATATGACAGGAGCTTATAAACTTGAAGACAAAAAAAAAAAAAAAAACAATTGCAAATTAAAACGGATTACTTCAATCTAATAATAGGGCATCTTTTAACCAAACCCCTTGTCATTCCTTTTTTCATGTTTGAATATGAAATCTCAATTAAAAATCTTGAATTTTATCGATTGATATACCTGAAAAGATAAAGAAAAAATGTTAAAATTTAATTACTCACTCCATTTCTATTTAATAAATGAAATCCCAATAATGTACAAAATAAACAAATTCATGTTTTTAAATTAAATTGCACAATCAAAGTGCAATTTATGTATTAAAATTATTTTAATAAATTTATAAATCAGCCTACACTTCAATTCTGTCTTTAAAAATATTTTCTTTTTTTGTTTTTTTAACAAAACCATCTGTTTGAAAACTAAAAAGCTTTCAACGCCGCCGTTTCAAGGGTAAATGGCAGTGATTTGTCTGCATCTCTCCGTCTCCCTTTCTGAATTCCCGAAAGGGAAAGTTAGAGGGCAAGGGGCGGCGAGAAGAATGAGCGGAGCGTCGACGGCAGCGTACTTGGCCCGACGAGCAGCGCAGAAGGAAAGGGTTCGGATCCTCTACCGCCGTGCCCTCAAAGACACCCTCAACTGGGCCGTCCACCGCCACCTCTTCTATCAAGATGTACTCTTTTGCCGCTTCTTTCTCCCTATTTCAGCATTTCATTAGCTTTTCGACTCAAAACGGTTGATTCCTGATGTTTCATTTTCAGGCATCAGACCTGCGCGAGAGATTCGATGCCAACAAGCACGTGGTTCGTTCTTCTTCAATTTACATAATTATTTTGATTAATGTTTTAATTAACTAGGTTCAGTGGGAGATTCATGGAGTCTTGAGTTTGTTTTACTTTAATTAAGGTGCTGCATTCTGCTTAGGGAGTTATACTAATGTTTGGAAATTGTGTTTACAATGCTGTTCCAGTGATGATGCTTTGTTGTAGACTTGTAGTGTATTCAAAGATTTGGGTCTGTTTGGTGATGTTGCATTCTTCTTTGCTGGGTTTTCAGCAAGATCTTGACACAATTGACAGAATGCTAGCTGAAGGTGAGGCAACCTATAATAAGTGGCGGCACCCTGATCCTTATATTGGTGAGTACTGAGTTCTGATATTGCTCTCTCTTGTTGATAAATTTGGTTGCTGGTCTTAATCAGACAACTTGGGCTTGGATTAAGTGAATTTACAATTGAAGAAAGAAACGGCAGAAGATTTATGCTTGGCTGAGTGTGTATGAGTAAATTATATGAGTGGAGTGCAACAATTCTTAAGGTACTTGGTTTTGCCAAAGCAAATTCCTCCCCTATGCCTAGCCGTATTGCCTCAAAATGGGGATTAGAAGTTTTGTGTAGAGACTGATATACTATTTTTGTATAGCTGGTTCATTCTTTGTATATGAATATTGGTAGCAGCCTGTATTATGAAGAGCTGCTTTGTGTATAGTGAAAGTTTGGGTAATAAAATTTACATTTTACCAAAAAAAAGAAAAAGAAAAAAAAAAAAACAATTCTTGATGTTTACGGTGAAAAAAGCAAAATATACAAGTCAAGCATGCTTTGTCTTGGAGGACATAGAATGCTCCCATTTTTTTTATTTGATACTTCACTTAATTCGCTTAGATGCATTCTCTTTCAATTGTCTGTATTCAGTTCTCTTTTTCAGTCATCAATGGCTGGCTATGTTGCACGTGCTGTGGCTAACTTCCATTTATTTTCCTTTTTCCATCATTGTCATGGTCAAGTTAATAACAGACTTCATTTAGCTGTCAGCTTCGGAATTGATCTCTGTCTTGTAAAGGTTCTTTTCGTAAAATGAGAGCATTCTGGTATATTTGTATAAAGTTATAGATTTGCTTTCAAGTGGATGCATTTCTTAAGCTATTATGTTAAATTGTTTAAACAATTACAATGTGCCCCATATGGACTAGGAAAGAGCCAAATGAAGTTTTTCTTGTAGTCAAAGTAAAGGATTTGGCCTTATAGTTGATGCTCGTTTGTGGATGTTTCTTCATGGTTAGAAGGCATGTTATCTACCTTTGCAATGCATATCATGTGGCTTGTGAGTCCTTTCTCTAATGTCACGTCACACGTTTCTTCAGCAATATTCAGATTCTTTAGTTTCACTTAAGTTGCTAGCGTGCTCTTATAAACTCAAGTCAAATCAATGTGCATAGACATGAAAAGTTGCATTTATGTTTGGATATATCATCTAAATTCTCTTATCTCACATATTTATTTTTGTTTGCAGTTCCTTGGGCTCCTGGTGGCTCCAAGTTTACTCGAAACCCAACTCCACCTGCTGGGGTAATATATTAGCCTTTATTTCATGACTATCATTTTTCTATTCTCATCACTTTTATCCTCATTTATTCACTGGATATAATCTATAATCCTGTGCGGTCTGTCTGTCACTTATCTATAATGCCCATTGCATATTGTATTTCTTTCCTAAATCTCATTTAAAATGTGAATCTTGATTTTAGTGTCACCTTTTTTTTTCCAAATTCTGGTTGTTGGGGCTGACGAGAAGATCAAAACATTAATATTACTTCTCTTCTTATGTTGTTCTCTTTTATTCCTTCTATCTATAAGAATAACAAGTAGACAGTGTTGGCTGATAGATTTAAGTTTTATGTAGCTTTATTGTGATTATTTAGTTAAGATATTTCATTCTTCATGCAGATTGAGATTGTGTATGACTATGGTTGAGAAGCCAATGACTAGAGCCTGCATCACTTTGATTGCAACAAATAGAGGTTGGTGATATAATTAGTCATCAAGATTCAGCTTGCTGAATGTGTAATATTGTTATTAGATTTGATGCAACTGGAAATCTTGTTTCTTGATTCATATATATCTCTTGAAAAGTATGAATAAGTGATTGCGGGAGCTTATGAGATGTGGGGTCGAGGTTTTCTTTAATGGTTGTCACTTGGTCAATTTGGTTGAGAAAGGTGTTAGGAAGGCATACCAAGTGTAGACTTGTTACTGAATCTTTAGTATTTTTGTCTATCATTCTATTTTCGGTTATAAAATCCTATAAAACATCATCCCAGGTCGTGACTAAAGGATGTTGTGTTCATCTCCATTCATTGTCTTTTAGCTACCGATCTTTAACTTTCTATCTTTTCAGGATGAGATGGTCCATGAAGATGGTCTGTGGTGCTATGAACACGTTGTATGTGTTGATTTATGTGAAGACTAAAACAAAGAAAAGACACTACCTTGCTGTACCTCTCTTTTTTATTTAGAAAAGAGTTTCTGTTTTATATTTCAATGTAAAGGCCCAATTTTCATTTTAAAATCAGCTTTTGATTTATTTATAACACACATAATCCCAAATTGAAAGTGTAATAATCGTTCAGAAGGCCCAAAAATTGCCTACCATGAATATTATCAACTACGTTTGTCTTCATTCCCTTGTTTGAATTAATAATTCAGGTTTATATTCTCTCATCCATGAATGCGAAGGATGAATATTTGAATTTAATTCATTGGAAGCTTTTAAATTTTGAGTCTATTTTTTCTAAAGGTTTTCTATCATGTTCTTATGGTATAAGATAAAGGTGTATTTATCATATTTTTTTATTATAATACACATAGTAAAATTAAAAGTTGTTGTTAATTTTATTAATTGTTTAATAAAAAAATTCATGTGTTATAATTGTTAAAATTAATGTTAATTTTTTTAATGTAAATTAAT